TACTTTATTTACTCGATCTTATTCGCCTACTAATATTTCTGTTTATCACCTTATTCTGAAAATTTCAACAAAACATTCTTTCGCTTTTAGCTCCCCTTGCTCTATCTACTGGCTCTTCGGGTCGCCTAACATTCTCTCTTTACTAGGGATGGGAGCCATACAAAGGTAAATATTTATCCCTTCTAGGATTCCAGTGCATATCTTCTAAATTTTTCCTAAACTTTCTAGTATTCATATCTAAGTGTATTGTTCTAGAGTGCACCGTGGGGGTGTCTCATAAGGAGAACTATTACCACGTTTGTAATATCCTTTAGAAATGTCATCTAATTCTAACAACTCGTCCACCATTTTAGGTTACTCTAACCCTAGCTCAATCCTGATATACCATCCTTCTCTTAAACAATATCCATTAGCTCCCATAGGGCATAACTAAGATATGTGTGGTCAATTGTACATATCTCTGTTACTGTTGAAGGTAGCTTAGAATACATATATTTCTCTGCCTGAATTGTAAAAACTCAAAATCTTCACTAACTGGGTACCTCGTAACCTTCGCCACCTTGCTTCTTTAACTTGTTGAAACTTGTATTTACCTTCTGATTCTCTCGTTGATTTTTAAACCATATGGGTGGATAGATATTCATGCCTTAGGCCTCCTTATCAAGAAACTTACGCGTCTTAATACACACATAATCCACTGAAGACCTTACATTTAATCATCATAAGTATGATGCAAAATCGAGTTCCATAGAGTCAACTTTTCCACATCAACATTCAATATCTTACCAACTTTCTTTGTGGATGTAGGTATCGTTGTATTACGATTAAAGTCGAATTTAGGAGTTTGAATTCTTACAACTGAGCTCTACCACACGATCTAGAATAAGAAGAAAGAGTGACAGTCCTAAATACCTTATAGGCTCCTACTTATAAGTGTGGTGCATAACACACCCATAAATAAGACTCTACTAGACACGGCTTGTAGACTCACTAGGACAGAACTGCTCTGATACCACTTTTGTCACGACCAAATCGGAGGGCCACAACGGGCACCCGATGCCTTACCCAACCGAGTACCAACGTAACATATCTTTCTTATCATACCATCATGGGTAAATGGGCCAAAAGGTCTGTCATGATATAACTAGAATGAAACATAAGGGAATACTTGACATAAGATGACCCAACAAGTAATACACACTTATACATGTGACATACGGTCTTATAATACCAAAATGAACACTCGTACGTTGAACATATGCCGACAAGGCCATATAATCTTTCATATACATGACATTTTTCTACAAGCCTCTAAGAGTACATACACATCATAAAGGTCGGGACAGGGCCCCGCCATACCAATCAATACATGTCTAAATCATACTGACCAAATAGACAACTCCGGAGCAAGTGGAGTGCACCAACACCTTACGTTGAGCTGATAGCTTACTAGGAGGAATGTCAACTTGTCTATCGGGACCTGCAGGCATGAAACGCAGTATCCCCAGGCAAAAGGAACGTCAGTACGAATAAAGTACTGAGTATGTAAGGCAAGAAATCATAAACAAGAACAGTAATGTAAATGAGAGATAGAGGAGATACAACTTGTAATATCTGAGTGCCTCTGGGGGCTACTAACATGAAATGAATAATACATATATATACATAAACTTTTAAAAACATAAGCCACTGTGGGCATCATCATCATATCGTACCCAGCCTCAAAGAGGACTCAGTAAAAATGTACCCGGTCATCATAAGGCTTGGTAGAATCGTACCTGGCCATGTGGGGGTGGTTGCACAATAAGTGCCATACCCGGCCGACTATATCGCGGCTCGGTAGAGTAAAATAGATACTATATATAATGCATGCTAGACTCATGGAATAACGTTCTAAACCTTTCGGAGTGACTTAAGGTCGTTGCACCTTCGATTAACATTATAGACATCCATACCCTCAATATAAACCTCAGTAGGATTCAAGGATCATACACACTTGCACAGAATAACTTTATAAGGAAACAACAACATGGACAACCTTAGTTGCTAGGAGTAGATCCATTATGAAATAGCGTATTCATTTCACTTTAGATCATGCCAAAAGAAAGAAGGAAGTGACTTAACATACCTTAAACCCGTTGAGTCCTTAATACTTTCCAAGCAATTCTTCAAACACGTCAACTCAATCTATCATAGTATGAGGAGATTCAAAATCAGTGTTGAGCAAAGGCTAAGTCTGTAACTTTAGCTAGTAGCTCATTTACGTAAATTCGGGTAGTATCTCCCTTGTAAGAAGGGCCTCCTCCAATACCATATACCAACAACAACAACCAGAGAAATCCATCAGCATATAAATTTCAATAACAAGGCACCATATAACAACAACAAGTCACAACTACTTCACGACGAGTGGCAAGCTCTGATTGGAATCCGTATAACCCATATCACCCCTTATAGACTTCTTACATTAACTTAACAGTATCATTAATATGATAATGAATTCATTCATCAATGATTCCATCCTTATACCATATATTTATAACAAAGGAAACAATCCTCAACTCCAACTATCTTCAATTAGTAACTTTATTCTCTAGTTCATGTCTACTCCATCCATTTAACTTAATCAACATCAAGATAACCTTAAGCACATGCAAGAACACAATACACATACTTCCTACTGTAACTAACAGTCGAAATACAAGTTATATTAAGCTTACAACAACCCTCAATGACAATACAACACCATAGAAGTGACTTAAGCTAATCCAAGTAGTATCTTGTAGTTTATCATCCTAACAACTTAACCAACATACAAGAAAGCTTAAGCACAATTAGTAGGCTGTTATACTCACATTAACCAGTAGAAACAACTTGGAATTTCATCCAAACACAGCCCAAAACAATCCTCAATGACAACACAACCTCAAAGAGGCGTTGTTCTTCACTAGAACTAAGTTTTGATGTTGAAATATGGTGTAATCACTTTGGAATCGCTTCAAACCATTATGGTATCTGTTTAGAAGGATTAGGAGAAATTTGGAGACGAAGTTGAGTTTAAAATGAGTTAAAAATAGGCGTCCAAATCATTTATAAAGTGAAGTAGGTAGACCACCGCCTAAGTGGGTCCCATTGGGAGCTGCTTGTGCGGTCTCACGAAAATGCGAATATCTCTCTACTCCGATGTCATATCGACGAATGGCTTAATGCATAGAAACTAGACTCGTAGATCTTCAATATGGTAGGTAGATCAACCCATAATTCCAAGTATATTTGTAGAAAACCTTAGCTATATTTGACCTAATGTTCAGCAAATTTATGGATATAACTTGTGATGACCTTTGCCAACTCTTGTTCCACAACTTGCTTGCCTTCAAAATGTAGAAAATGACTATCATAAGACTAAAATAACTCATAGCATAACCTCCTTACCATGTTAAGAACTCTAATATCACCCCAAAGTACATATTATAACATTCCAAACTTGTCGACTTTCGACGAAACTTATTTTCTCCAATTGGTTTAACTTTTAAGCTTTCCAACTCTTTTGGTACTCTTTATTCATGATCTTAAATATTTGTAACCTCCAAGGTAACATGATTAACTTACTTTATGTACTTTCAAAAACGATCTTAGTTCCGAGCTTACATCAATGGCTTACGACGCACTCTCGCGTATGAAAACGTGGGGTGTCACAGTGTTAATGCACGAAGGGTGATACCGTGCCATGATTTGAGAGTTAATGCATGAAAGGTGATGTCGTACCAATTTTATGAGAGTTAATGCACGAAGGGTGATGTCGTGCCATGATTATGAGAGGTAATGCACGAAGGGTGAAGCCGTGCCGTTTTTGTTGTTTCATATGGTGAGGACGAGAGTAAAAGCACGACGGGTGATGCCGTGCACGTGTTTCTACTTCATTATTCTTATTGATTCAGATATGATGTTCATTATGCTTCTCTATTAGTTTATTGTTAGAATTAGATATTCCCCGTAGCATGTCCCCTTCCCATCTTTATCTGTCATTTCCTGTTGTTATTGCTCTGTTTGTATATGCTTTAACTACACAGGTTTATTTGGTTGTCGTGTCCTAGCCTCGTCACTACTTTTCTGAGGTTAGACTCGACACTTACCAGTACATGAGGTTGGTTGTACTGATACTGCACTCTACACTCTTTTGTGCAGATTTTGGTGCCGGACCCGGTGAGTAGCTGAGGTAGCTGCCTTCACTCTAGGGAGACCAAGGTAGATCTGCTGGCGTCCGCAGATCCCCTTCCCTGTTTTAGCTTTCTGCTGTCTCTTTTCATTTCGAGAACAGTTGTACTTTTCTTTCTAGACCAGTGTTTGTAGAAATTCGTAGATGTTCGTGAAATTGTGATACTAGATTCGTGGGTAGATATGTATTGGATTATTTGAATTTGTTATAACTCTTCCTCACTTTTCATTTGCTTAGATTTAGTTACTGTTTATATCTGTTTGGGTTGATTGCCAATGTGTTAAAACCTTAATAGTGGCTTGCCTAACTTTGACGAGTAGGCTCCATCACGACTCCCGAGGGTGGAAAATCCGAGTCGTGACAGCTTTTCTCAAAAGTACTTTCAAAAAAGTATTTTTGGTGAAAAACAATTTATGTTTGGCTAATTAATTTGAAAAGCACTTTTGAGCAGTAATTAATGTTTGGCCAAACTTTTGAAAACTGCTTCTATGTGTATTTTTCTCGAAAGTAATTTTTAGAAAAGTGTTTTTGGAGAGAAGCTATTTTTTTCTACTTCTCAAAAACTGCTTCTGCTTCTCCTCAAAAGTATTTTTTTTTCTTTTTAAAAGCTTGGCCAAGCACGTTTTGGTCAAAATCCCTTTGGATAAAAAAAAGTACTTTCGGTCCAAAAAAAAAAAAGCTTGGCCAAATAGGCTAATAATAGCGTGGGTGTTATGTAATTAGAAATTGTTTATTAGACAATTCAAAGGTCAACTTTTGAAGGTGCCTTATTGAAGATTTGATGAATTTTGAAACTCACCACAAAATGGTCGGTATAACGGCTTCTCCGATTCAATCGTTTGGAGTTACCATGACCGTAGATTAGCCTCTCTTGAGAAATTATAAAATCAAATCATAAACCTCCTCCTTTTGGCCTTCCATTCCAATTCTCTTTGCATCTCTACCAGCAGTTTTGAGATATGTCGGCTCAATATTCCTGAGGCTGGAATCACGTCTTTCTTGCATATGGTATCGTTGTTTCTTCATAGAGTCATGCATGTTTGGATTTGTGGGTGGGGTTTGCATTGTCTTCTCTAATATGTTTCGTTATTTGTGCGTTATCATGTACCTAGCTATATGTATTCGAAATTATTCAACTGTCGGTTCTTGTTGTTTTTGTTTTTCGACCTACCGATATTGCAAAATCTAAAGTGGTACGGAATATATTATAATCCTATTATATTATACTTTTCCTTCTAAACGTTGTATAATTATGAACACTATGATTGTCACCTTTTATTTTGGTGGTATTGTGTTGTAACTTTCTAAAGTCTAGTGCACATATTTTCAGAATATACTGTTTCCGTTTTGGAAAATGTGATTCAACAATGGTTGTATATTATTTTACAAGTCTTACTCATATTATTTTGTTTTTTCCTTCTTTTGTTTCTAGGTATCACCATGCTGCTGGCATTGCTAACTAACAGAGTCTCATTGCTTGTATAATTATATGAAATTTGGACTCTGGTGGCAGGTAAGCACTAAAATTCCATATGTACAATGTTATTTTAGGGTGATTGATTATTTTCTTAACTTCCTGGATCACACAGTCGTTATACTTAAACACAGAACTAAAAGCAGTTACTTTCCCCAAATTTTCTTCTACATGACTAAATGGTTTAGGATGGGTCTCGACTAGTTTTCGTACCTGCAGCAAAGTTGTATATAGCTTGAAAATTTGTGTGCTAACATCTGAGAGGGGAATATGTGTCTTTCTTCCCCTACATTGCTCTTTTCTTTTTTTTTTTTTTTTTTTTTTTTTTTTTTTTTTTTTTTTTTTTTTTTTGGCCTTAACTTCTGCTTGCATCATCTAGTAGTTCTTCATAACAGCTTTTTGTTACAGTGGGTTGTGTTCGATTGTGAGCAGAGAAGCAGGGGGTTATGTAATGTGGTTGAGGTTTTGCAAATGATTCTCTTCTTATTCTTTTCCATGATATGATATAGGGGTTATCCAGCACTTCGTTGTGGAGCCACATGTAACCAAAGGGATCCAATTGAATCCCCTTCATTGGTAAATTGTACTGCGTAATTAGAGTTAAAACAACCTTTTTGTACATAAATATTTTGAATCCCCTTAACACAAGAGAATACGAGTTGAAACCCAGTTGTGCCATTTTTGGGTTATTTTGAATCCCCTTGTCAAAATTAGTGACTCCGTTACTGCTTGTAAAGTCGATAAATTAATTGTTTATCTTGTCAACAGAAATTTGAAGTTCTTTTACTTTTCTGCTTCAATAGTAATTTCACGGACATATTGAAGCATCTTCTCCCTGATTATTATTTAAGATACTGCATTTCCTTGTAAAAGTGATTTGACAGTAATTCTACATACACGCCTTTATTTTGACCTTAAAATGATGGACTTGCTAGGATTTTGGTTGTCTCTGTGCAAATACTCTCAAAACGTTCTATACAAGTTCATTGTAGATAGTTTAGAAGGTAGTGGTACTTCCACTCTTCTAATAGATTATATCCAATTAGAAAGTTCAATTGTGTACAAATAAGATAACATTTTTTTTTTCTGGTGATGTCTTTCTTGCATCGTGGGAGAATGTTACGAATCTAACACTGATTGTCATTTTCTTCTCCTGCACTTTATCTCAGGTCTCCTCATCTTCTGGTATCTTGAAAGATAGATACTGTTCATAGAATTTCTTGAAAATTGGACTCTAAAGGAAAGCAAACACTTAGATTTTGAATCAAATGTGAGGTAAATTTTTTGGCTAACCACCTGAAATTCATTACACCTACTGTTGTTTATTGTAATAGCATCTGGAAAACTGCAGAGAATGCACAAGTACTTGTTATGGTGGCATGATTATTTTCTAAACTTCCTGGATTATACATGCATGATAATGTTGGTATACTGAAATAATTTCGCTTTCCCAAATTGTATCTACTACTAAACTGGTTAAATAGGAGTAAGAATCATGTGTTAACCAATTACCACCAATCACAATTCATTAGAGTGTATGTTCTTAAAGTCATTTGATATAGGCATCAACGAATTGAACCTGCGCTGATGGAAATGCAGAATGGGGAGAGCAAAATTAAAACTGCATAAGTTGGATGGTAGCAACCGCATAGGAGTATACTCAAGGCGGAAGAAGGGACTCTTGAAGAAAGCTAATGAGCTGTCAGTATTGTGTGACATTGACATCTTTCTTGCCATGTTTTCACCAGGTGGAAAGCCTAGTGTATACAAGTCAGATAACAGGTACTTTTTCCCAACACGATAACTCAAGATTAAGCCTTAAATTTCCATATCTTAATGTTATAGGTCTTTGGAGAGAAAATTAATGCGTCAATTATTTTGTTGTGGGAAATGTGATTGTTACTTTTTGATGCCAAGACACTTTATCCATGTTTACAATTTATGAGATATGAAGTATTTTGTGGCATCCACCTGAATGAAAATATTGCTAATTTTAATTATTATGCACCTTTAAATCTAACAAACATTAGAGACCAGTTTTTGCAAAAGCCTTTCTATCGATAAATCTTAAATCCCCTTCATTCTTCTTCCTCCAGTAGCTTTGAGGACGTGATTACCAAGTTTGCCGAAGTAAATCCAGAAGAAAGAGCAAAAAGGTAACATAACACATTTGTATGAATAATTGTGCTGATGAAATAATTCAATGCATTAAGAGTAATTCTTTGAACTTTTCTTTTACTTGATAAGCAGGAAGATGGAGTGCCTTGATGTAAGTCAACCTTCTGTCTTTCCGTTCATGTGTGCATTTAAATTTTCAAGGTGCTTTTCTAGTGATGCACTTTTCTGGCTTTGAACATTTAGACAATAAAGAAAGCTTGCAAGAAGTCTGATCACGATGTAGACATAGGACAGCAGCTTTGTCCTGGGTACGTTTCGTTTCACTGCCATGTAGTTATGTTTACCTATCTTTTAAGAAATCAAGGCCTGTCAGGTTGACTTTTTTTACTACTGAAAACATTTCTTCTCATTCTTTTTCAGGGATTTGACAACGGAGGTATTAATTTTTTTTATCACAAAATATCACTATGATTATCAAATTTGTTACCATTGGTAGCAATGCTAGTTAGATTTACTGAGCTTCTTGTGCTTAATGTAGGATATCAATTTTCTCACACATTCATTAAGAATTCGACTTTCAGATATTGAGGGTAGAGTCAGGTAACTTTGATCTCTTTCATTGTTCATTTTTTTTTTCAAAGGATATCTTCCAGTACAAATATAAAAGCATAATCATAGATTAGGCCTCTTATGATTGGTGTCGTTATATATTTAGTGATTTATAAGAAAAACCCTGTTAATTTTCTTCTGCAAGTGTTAAGAAGTTGATTATTCGTTCTTGAATTGTTCCAAAGAACAACTATTTTGGATAGGAGATAAAGTCCTCAGACGTATATAATGTCTGGCAGAATACTTAAAAAGTTGGTTTACCAAATGCTTAAAGTTTCACAGTTCTACTAAAAAGCTAGTGATTCTTCCACTCTTGATTGGGTCAATGCTTCATGGAGGAATAAAGTTTATAGATTTTTAATAGAAATCAGATGATATTGTAACTCAGCAGTATTACTATGTGCACCTTTTAAGTTAAATTCAACTCCCATGAATAGCACGGAAATTTTCTTTGAAGGAAGTGAAGAAAAACAAGGTGCAGATGTTGACCATTAGAGTAAGATTGATGCACACATAACTGATGTGCTCGTGACAGTGAACAAAGGCTAGGGAAGGGTGTCAAGGCAAGGACCTAATTTTACAGTGCCTTGACATGCAGTTTGAGAAAGAATTTTGTTGGGATATATTTAAATGACATGTGGCTTTGTCCTGTCCTCTTATGTAGGCTTTCATTCTTCACATACTACTATTCCATTTATGATTCCCGTTTAAGAGTTTATCTGATATCTAGCTGTGACTCTGCTTTACGAGTTTACGTGGACTAACGAGGCCAGGACCTACTCCTTTTGCAGTTTTGATTTGACCACACTTTGTGAGAAATGAGAAAGTGAGGTTGCTGAGTTGGTTCAATGAACTTTTATTTCATTACTTCACATGATAGTGAATGGATTTTACTGTGTTGGTCCCACAATTATTATATAAATACTTCTGAAAAATATTTATTTCAAACTTTTCTTGAACATTATATCATAAGACTGAACTTATCTCCCTTAAGAATAAGAGATGAGACTTTCTCTAAATCAACTTCACATTTGAGGAGAACTTGCTTTTTTTATTCAACAACTGCACTGACAATCATTGCGTCATTATAGGTTTGACTGAGTATTGTGGTTGTGTCTTATAAATAAATGGAGATCATTTCTACTACATATGCTGGATAGACATTCAAATGATAATCAAATAATTCTGTGAACACTTGTGACCTCAGAAATGGGATATACATAGTCTAATGTGTGATGTGTGTGGTCATAGCAATTAGGAAGTAAAGTTAGATACTGTTTTGGGGAAGGCCAATAAATCATAGCAAAGTTGCTAGCTGATTTTTTGGCTTTTCTGCAAATATGTAAGTTATGAGTTTATCATAAGCATATCCAAATTTCCCACCAGCTAAGTTTACAGTGACACACTAAGTTGGGCAGTATTTCGCAAATCCTTCGAGTAATTTTATATGTTTCATTCTTTGTTTCATGTGTAGCTGAAGAATGTTAAGAAGGTTACATATTCTCCTTTTTCTCTTCCAGAAAAGAGAATATCCCTTGTTATCAGGTCTATGATAATTCAGTACAGTATGACCACACCAAAAAAAAAAAAAGGCAATGAAAGTGTTGCATGAATAGATCAACAGTTAGCTGATTCAGATTTTTCTCTCCCGTCCCTAGGTTCATATGCCTCGTTGACTTACTATTATTTCTATGGAGATAGTTCTAGGAAATATATATGACATTTCTTTTTGTTTTGGAATATGTAGGCTATGGAAGAATCTTGAAAAGATTGACAGCATTCAACAACTTAGGAAAATGGAGGACTCAATATCAAAATCTCTTAACGAAATCGCGAAACATAAGGTATACTTAATTCTTGCTTCACCTGGCATTCGATAGCTATGTTTTTTATTTACGCACTTATGGGTAGCCAGTCACCACATTTATTATGAATGATCAAATTTACTCATTATTGTTAATTTAATCGATGAGGACCTCAAGGGCCTTAAAGGGAGTACTATTGTTGGATATATATTTGGTTAAACCTTTTACTTAAACTCACTTTGTTTTCTTAAATAAAAGTATTAAAAAAATCTGGTTTATGTGATACCCTGGCGTTTCTTAGAGTAATATGTTGTCTCTATGAAAATAATAGGAGCGTGCTGTTATATTGATCCTCTTGCAGTGGATCGTAAGCTAATTTCTTTATTAACAGTTTATAACTACAAATAAACAAAATAAAAAGAGCTGCTAATAGAATACTGTGCTTGGCTGTAATGTTTCCAACATAATCCATTACTCCCTCCGATCCAATTTATCTAAACCTGATTGACTGAGCACGAAGTTTAAGAAAAAATGATGATTTTTGGAATTTGTGGTCCTAAACAAGTCAAAAATGGGCCCAGAGTGTTTGTGTGGCGATAAAAGCTTTTCATTAAGGGTACAATTGTAAGTTTAAGCTAATTTATTTTCAAATTTGGAAAGGGGTCCTTCTTTTTGGAACGAACCAAAAAGGAAATAGGTTCAACGGAGGGAGTACTATTTATCTTTTGATTTTCTTATTTTTCCATATTTTGATAAAAGCTCATAATAAGTGTTAATTAATGTGTAAATATAACGTGCAATGATAAGTTAAAGAGTTATGCTTTACAGTTTATTGTAAATTAAAAGATTGTAATGAGCTCTGTTTGCGTTGCAGTGTGGGATGGCTTCATTAATTTTTGGTGCTGGGAAAGATTTTCAGCCTTCTTCAGTCCGACATGGGATTGATTCACCTTTGAACTCTGATGCTAGGAAAGAGCTCCATCCATGTTCATCAGTCCATGCTTGTGATAGTGAAAATATTGATGTATATGAAGACATGAATTCATTCGATTCATTTTTACTTTGTGATACTGGGCAAGATTTCCAGGCTTCTTCACTGATGCAGCATGGGATGAATTTGGGACAAGAGCTCTATCAATGTTCATCAGTCCACGGTGAAAATATGGATGTATATGAGGACTTAAATTCATTTCCACTAGAGTGAGGAACCACCTTTATGTGCTTCAGACTTCCAATTATCATGTGCCTTTTTAAGTAAAAGATTTTAATATATGATCTAATTGGCATTGATATCTTTATTGCTATGTCTAATAAAAACACAATATTTTTGTCCTGTCTTCCTTCTCCCATGCTCCCCCAATACTTCCTTGTTTGTACTGTAATCATAGTTTTTATTTTATCTGCAGAAGTAATTATTAGCTTCTGACATTTTAATAATTTGGGGTCTCTAGGTATTTGGAGGAACAATCTTTTTCTTTTGAGAGCTACACAAATCTTGTTTGCAACAAAGAAATTGAAGTCTCTATGCCAGAATCCGTAAATTTTGTACCTGGGGAAATATTTCTGGATTGTGAAGTAAATCAGGAAGATATTGTAACAGAATTTGGGTTTACCTTTGATGTGCCACAACTAGAACAGATGGATGACAAGGGAAATGCTTTTGACTGTAGCATCAACAAAGGTTCCAGACTTCCTCATTCTGATCTTGTTAACATCCACGATAGTTCAAAATCAGCATCTGGTACTTGTGAAAATATGATATTAGCCGACTCTCTACACTTTCTGGTAAGTTTTAACCTTTATGATGTAGCGAAATCTCTAATACTCTTACCACTCCTTTCACATTTCATTACTCTTTACATTTTGAAAAAAGAAATATTGATTGTTTTCTGTCATTGTCCAAAGATCCATCCATGTGAAACTAGTTTCTGAATTGAAGCTATATGGGAACCATTTGAATGCTTACGATTTGTCATCTGCATCAAGTCTAAATTGCTGATTGTAACTACATTAGTCTCAAGATTATTATAGAACCTCCAATCAACTTTTTTTTTTTATCAAACCTTACAATTCTGATTTATATCATAGCACCGATCCACTTAGTTCAGTCTCAAGGACGGGATAATAGAGGTGTAACACCGAATATGTTGGAATAGTCCCACCCAGTAGATGGAGAAGCCAGTAGTACCAATCAAGGAAGCCTTGAACTATAGAGCTTTCTTTCCCGATGGTTATCTCTCTTAAGGAGGAAATTTTCTATAAACTTCAACAACTACAAACTCAGTTTAATCCTATAAGTGGGGTCTGGGGAGGATAGTGCGTACGCAGACTTTACCCCTACCCTAAAAAGGTAGAGAGGTTGTTTTCGACTGACCCTCTGCTCAAGGAACATTAACAATAAAGCAACAACAATGTAATAGGGTAACGAAAGCGAATGACACAACAAGTAATAAAGAACCAGGAATACAATTTTCTCTTAAACTGTCTTCACATTTTGAGGGGAGAATTCTTTCGAGGCTAAATTCCATCATCCTACTGCCACGGCGGTCGTTTTTGCATCTTAGGTTTTGGAAAATCTTTGTGATTGCATCTTATCAAAACATGGAGATCATTTCTATGACATTTGGTGGCCAAAAATACAATTGTTATTCAGAATTCTGTAACCCTTCTGAGATCAGAGATGGAATATGCATAATCTAGTGTATGTGGTCATAGCAATTTGAGTGACGTTTGAGGAAGGTCAATGAGTTGCAGAAAAGCTGTCAGCTAATTGTTGGCTTAGTTTGTTGCATATATTTTACTTATTAATCTAGGATGCATTCTGACATTGTCCACCATCTGCATTTTTAGTGGAAAGATTTTATTTGGTAGTATTTCCAAAATCCTTAGAGTACATTGTGTAATTCAATGTTTGACGTGCAGCTGAAGAAACATTTAACAGATCACACACTTGTCCTCTATCAAAGAAAAGATTTTGCTTCTCATTAATATCCCGTTATATCATATTGCATTCTGATAATCTGAATTAGGTTAGTTGACCAGACGCAATAAAAAATGTAGCATACATTGATCAGCAATAAGCTGACCTTAATATGTTTTATTTACCCAAGGAAAACTAAGGAAGTTTTCCCTTTTCACAATTTTATCTCGGCATTTAGCATTGACTTATAGCATGGTGATTCCTTTTCTCTTGTGATATAGGGAACTGTAGATTTCAGAAGAATATTCACAAAATTAACATCATGAATATCTTAGAAAAATGGGTGACTCACTAGCAAACTCCATTAAAGTGCCTCTGGTAAAAAATTCAAATACTTTTCAACGTAATCTATTTCCAAATGTTAAAGTGGATTTGGCACAAAATCGTAAAGGTGCCTCTGATATGATGATATCTTAACATTTATAGAGTTATATGAAGCTCCTATGAAAATAAGAGGATTTGTAGATAAAATTTTTAAGGCTTGGAATCCTTAGGTATATAATAAAAAAACTAGTAAATGGAAAAGACTGCTCAACTGTGTACAACCACTGGCTGTTAGATTTCCAGCATATCCATTATTATCTTTTGCTATTCTCATTCATGCCATTGTAATAAAAAACTAATAATTTGTTAATTAGTAGTAGGTACATCTTAGGACTCTAAAATACTGTGTGTACTGCAACCTAATATTCTCCTTTATTGCCATTATGATAGAAACTAAAAATTAATATTAATTAATAGGTACATCTTAGTACTCTGAAATACTGTGTATACTACAAGTTTTAAGGAGCATTCTTTGCATTTCAGTATGGGATGGATTCATCAAGTTCCGATGCTGGAGAAGAGTTTTCAACTTCTTCCTCAATCAAGCATGGGATAAATTTATCTTCAACCCAACTCGATGCAGGCTTATCTGTCAATGGTGGTGATAGTGAAAATATGGACGATTACGAGGATCTTATTGCGTTTGTTTCATGTTTAAAATTTGATGATGAGCACGGATTTCAGTCTTCACCATCAATTGGCCAGTATAGTATGAATTCACCTGTAAGTTTTGATGCTGGGCAAGAGCTGCATCGATCTTCATCAGTCAACGGAGGTGATAGTGAAAGTATTAATGGATACGGGGACCTAAATTTGTTTGTACAAGGGTAAGGGTTTACCTTTGTATCAAGCTTCAAGCTGCAAATCATCATAGTCCTCGGTAATTTGATAATAGTTATGTCATATATATCGTGCAAGACAACTATAACAAGATACGTTTGAAAACTTCTGGCACTGATACTACTGCAGTAACGATATCTTTTATTTCTTCATCACCACGTTTAGACGAATGTATTATTGTTCCTATTTCCCATCCATATGCCCCACTCACCATCATCAGTATCATTATCACCACCTTTATCATTATATACAGAGATAATTATTACCCTCTAATATGTCATTTGATTTCGGATTTCAGGTTTTTGGATGATCCATCTTTAATGATCGAGAGCTGTACGGATCTTGCTTGCAACCATGAAGTAGAAAATTATAAGCCAGGATATGAAAATTGCTCAGCGGATAAAATGTTTCTGGATTGTCAATTAAATCAGGAAAATATTGAAATGGCATTCAAATCTAATCTTGATTTGCCACTGGTAGAGCAAATGGATGTCCAGGAAAGCAGTTTTGACTGTCTCAACAAAGGTTTTGGATTTCCACTATTAACATCCATCCTAGTGTAACTTGTGACAATATGACTATCTCAACTTTCCTGTAAGTTTCACCTGTCTTAATCTTGTATTTCACTTGGAAACTACTCCTCTCTAACATTCTACAATTCCTTCCTCATTTCCTTACTCCTTACATTGTCTTTTTTAAATTTTATTACTTACTATTAAGAGGGGGAAAAGGGGAGGCGGGTATCGCATTGGGGTGATTCGATCCTTGATCACATGGTGAAGGATGATGGGCTTAATCCTTACTTCTTGAGATATTCATTTTGTTCTATTATTGGCAAAAGATCCATACATGGGAAACTAGTGGTTTTTAAAGTGGTTCTACTTGAGGAATGATCTCTTATTAGAATATATATCTTCTCCAACATCATGTCTAAATTGCTGGTGTTAATATTTTGAAGGGGATAATGCACGTCTCTAAAACATGCAGTTAAAGTATTATTTTCCCTCCCATGTGCCATCTCAATATGTACAGGGTTAGAATAAAGCAGGTTGAAGACAACTTAATTATTTGTGGAATACCAAAAGAATTATTTATGGAATACGAGTATCAAGAAGATATTAGAATCACATTCATGTACAATTTTGTTAGCTATTAGAAGATATTATGAACAATGTTTGTATTTCTGAAGTCTTATAGCTTAATCAGGGGCGAAGCTACATGTCTTAAAAGTGGTCAATTGACCAACATTCGTCAGAAAAGTACGCTGCGTAATATCAAATTTTAAAGATATATACATATACTGAACATCGTTTGTTGGGGAACTTTTTTCACTTCTTTCAAGTTTGAACACCCTTGAGGAAATTCTTAGCTTCGCCACTGAGCTTAATTGCTTAATGAGCTTAAAGATACCTGTTGGCTATCATAACAGTTTGGCATGCTATACCTTAGTAGTTGTACTTATAGAACTATTCCTTAATTTCTCTAAAAATTGCAGCTCATTGATTAGCAGTATTGCAACTTTGCAAGCAATGGCAAACATCTAAATTTCCTTACGAAAAAGAATTGCAGCTCATCAATTTCTATGTATTCCGTGCCCACCTCCTCAAACCAAATAAATGATTATCCTTTTGCCCTGTTACAGGTGTACTATTTTGGATCGACATTGACACATATGAAAAGAAAAAAATGTGAATATATATACATACATACACGTGATAATCTAAACACATTAGATAGCTCGTGAATCACAAAACGAGAACTTGCTTATTCGCATAACGGAAGCGGAAGGAATGGATGAACTGCAGCTGGAATTACCGATCAGCGATGGTTGTCACGGTGTATTGGATCCCTACACCACAGTCTAAAGCCTACTTCGATTTTAGGAGAAGACTAAGCGTAAAAAAGTACTGCATATTTTGTCTACTTTGAAGTCCATCGTATGTGTACTTACTGTGATTTGCCCTAGTGGGCTTTATGAGCACCCCTTATGGGTGAACTTTATTTACTATATCTCCCACTCACACATAATGAGAGTGCTCATCTAAATTGAGAAACAAATTCTCATCTCATTTCCTCAATCATTCATATAGGGAAGTAGACCGTGCGACCAGCATACTATGAGAGTTAAATGTTATACATCTGTTAGGAGTATATAGCCTCTCGTCGAGTGCAAACATGCAAGTAGATCATAAGTATGCAGTACCCTAGATCATATAAATCATATTTGATATAGTCTCAACATCTCATCTATCATTATTTCTTGTATTCACAATCATAATTAATAAGTTATAACTAGTGCACCAGTGAACACAATTAAACGAGATTCCATCAATGATCTTCCTCTTCTCACTATCCCCTTAACATTAGTATGACTCATTTTCTAGATATGCTCCGCTAGATCGAATCTGTGTACATGGTCTTTTGGAAACACACTAAGATGGCTAACATCACGCTATGTCTCAAGTATCTAATCAAAGTCTTCGAGGATACAAAATCTCGGGACATCATAAATGCTCTGGATCTCACACAATAATAAGTTGAGAATGGACTTATGTAAATCCAATTGGTCGACATTAGCACACATGATATGAAATACATGCTACAATATTTTCTCCTTTTTCCCAAGCAGCGTATGTCTTTGTCTCATAAAGAATAATGTACAGATGATATCTAGACACCATAAATATCTAAATTTGAGTTTATTAATCTACAAAATCATATGTAACTCATATCTGGCTCATAAAGTAGACTAGGTGAACGTTTCTCACCCTAATGAACTTATGTCATTGTTTAACCTAAATTCTGATTTTAAGCGAGTAGCTCTCAAATTATCCTTAAGATAATTTTGCTTAAAATCATGTCTCATCTCCTCACATCACTAAGATAAGGAGGCGGTTTCCTGTGTGAGAAGGCCAACCTCCTGTCTACCCGACATACTTATAAAAAATGAACAACGAATGCATATAACATTCAGCAATAATAATATGTATGTATGTAAATCAACTTTATTGATAATCAAAGAACATCAATTTTGTGAACACGAGAAAATAAATAACAAAATGAAGTATATCAAAGTCTACTCAAGCCTTGAGACCTTGTGTTTCTCACAAGTGCATCTCTAGACAAAGGCTTGGTCAATGGATCTACTAACATATCTTTTATAGACACATACATCACATTTACTACCTTATATCTAACTGTCATGACCCCCTTTTTTCACCTTAGGATGTCGTGATGGCACATAGTCTCTAAGACTAGGTAAGCCTAACATTTAATAATAACTTACTAAAGTAAAGCTGATAAACTCATATAGACTTCCAAAATAGAATCTCGACAACAACTCTCTCAGAACCGGTGGAACTGGGTCATACGCTCTACAAAATAATCTAGAATGTCTACTACACCACTATCTGAACGAGAAATACAACAAAAATGAAAGATAAGGGCAGGTGATTCCAAGGCTTGCGGACACCGAGCAGGTACACCTTGAAGTCTCCGGATGACAGCTACAACAAACACAAACGTCTAGCACGGGAAGACATACCTGGATCTGCATAAAAAGATGTGTTTCATAGTATGAGTGCACCACAACGGTACCCAGTAAGTATCAAGACTAACCTCGGGAGAGTAATGACGAGGTCAGGTCAAGACACCTACAAGGACATAATAAATAGAATGAAAATATAAGAATGAGAAGCAATGGAAGGTGGAGAAATAAATGATACAAAATAAGTTAATAATATAAACTAGTGACAAAATTGTAAGCATGAAGATAAAACAAAGGAAGCAATAAAGAGAACCTCAATTGTTAAATACAGACAAAACTGATAAGACAAGGAAGAATAAAAGCAACAAGAAGTGTTCCGCCAATAATTCTTTTCAACATGAGATGCACGATAAGAATCGCAACTAAGGTACTACCTCGTATTCACATTTCTCAATTTCAATCACAATCTTTTGTTATGCCGCCGCGTTAGCCCTACATTTAAATAGTTTTGAAAATATTTGTTTAGAAATAGCTACACGTACTTTAGCCCACCTTATGACGTCGCGTGGCTTCAAGTAATTACCTTATTAGCACATAAGTCCCAGCTTATGCCGCCGCATGCATATTAACCCCTATCCTTATACTGCCGCATGCACATCGATATCACACCATAATAACAACTCACACCACAAGCGCCCATATGCCACAATTTACCAACAATCAACAATATCAATATTTTCACAACAATAGCCCATGGCTCAACTACAATGTATACAAGAATATCAACAATAACAATGAATGTAAATTTCTCAACAAGGAAGATATCTCAGCAATTAACAACTTGGTCTCAATGTGATAATGGCTTTCACAACTTCAGCACTAATAACTCAACAATGAGAGAGATAACAGGTAACCACAATATCAAATAAGAATAACTCACAATGGGAGAGATAACATGTAACAATGACTTCAAATAAGGATAAGTCCACAATGGGATAGATGACATGTAGCAATGACTTCAAATAAGGATAAATCAATAATGGAAAAGATAACATGTAACAATGAAAGAGGCAATAACTTCAACAAAAGTGTAAGAGCAAAGTATCAATAAGATGTAGAACAAGTGTTACCAAAGTCAAATAAGGCATGTAAGGATAGACTAACACAAGTAAGAGTATATTGACAATGAGAATTAAAACATGATATGATAACTCAATTAAGGTATGGAAAGAGTCTAAGTAGCCTAAATCAGCCAATGCTACGTATAACTCATGTACCCACTCGTCACCTTGCGTACACGGCTTTCACATAGCACAAATAATATAATCAATCCCAAATCCTAAAGAGTAGTTCCCTCACACAAAGTTAGGCAAGATACTTACCTCAACTAGACCAACTCAACACTCAAAAATAGCTGTCTCCCTAAAATTTGCCGCCACACGACTCAAATCTAACCAAAATTGACTTCATATCATAAAACAATACAAGGTAAAACAATTACAGTAGATAAAACTATGATCTTTACACTTTTTCTAAAAAGTCAATCAAAAGTCAACTTGGGGCCCACCCAATCAAAATTCGGGCCCAAGGATAGATCCCGACTACCCATAATCCCACGAGTCCATATGTATGATTAGTTTTAAAATATGAGTCCAAATCGACTCTCAAAACTCAAATTCTAATTTTTCAAAAACTTGACAAAATTTATTAATTTTTCCTTCTTTGATTCACATGATTTTGATGTTAAATCTAAGGTATAATCATGAAATATAGTTGGAAATTTATTAGAACCACTTACCCAATGTTTGCTGATGAAAATCCTCTTTCCAAATCGCCTCCTATCGAGTCTAGGGTTCTAATGAGAGAATATGAGATGAAATCCCGACTCTCAGCCCTTTTGATCACCTGCAGATGTCGTAATTGCGACATGGGTTCGCAATTGAGACATGCGTTCGCAATTCCGAACCCTTATAATTGTGAAGAAATTCTCACAATTGTGGCACTGACAGACTCAAGGGGATCTTTGCAACTGCAACAATGGGTTCGCAATTGCGAACCCTTATCCCCTCGTAAATACGACAGATTAATCGCAAATGCGATTCTTCCTACCCAGACCACTATTTCGCAAATACGAACTAATGTGATGCATGTCCCTCCCTTGCGATGTTCGCAATTGCGAAGCTGGTGTTCGCATTTGCGATATCAGAGCACCAACACACCAGATTTTTTGTTTTCAGTTCAATTTTTTCTGAAACATATTCGAAACTCATTCAAGCCCTCGAGGATCCAAACCAAACATCTACACAAGTCTAAAAATATCATACAAACTCACTCGCGCAATTAAAATACAAAAATAACATCTACAACTACAAATTGGACGCCAAACGCATGAATATAAAAATAATTTCAAGAACCTTTAGAATTGCAACTAAACGTCTGAATCCTATCAAATCAACTCCAAACGATTCAAAACCTGATAGCTAAAAGTCAACATACGGCCGAAATTTTCAACTTCAAATTGCCAAATTTCGGCAAAACAACACAAATCAATCTACGGACATTCGAATTCGATCCCGGGCATATGCCCAAGACCAAAATCATGGTACAAAGCTATCAGAAACATTAAAACACCATTCCAAGGTTGTTTTAACGAAAGTCAAAGTTTGATCAATATTTCTAACTTAAGCTTCTAAGTCAAGAGCCAAAGGGTCCAAATCAACCCGAAATCTTTCCGGAACGAAACTAATCAACCCCGTAAGTCATAAAATCATAAACACATATGTGTGCAACATAAAAAGGGAAAACGGGCGCAATTATCCAAAACGACCAGTCGGGTCATCACACTAACCATGTCTCTTGCATAGTAATACTTGATATCTAAATTATCGGTTTTACAATGAACTTAGGGTCCTTGGTGGAGGATATTGCAGTCTCACTATCACAGTAGACTAACACTGGTTTAGTATTTTTGGTGACATCCAACAAGTGTTCCAAGAAATTTTTCAACCAAATAGCTTTTTGTGTTCCTGATGTGAGAGCCACTTATTCGGCTTCCATCGTAAATAGTGATACACGTGATTGTTTCTTACTACTCTATGATATAATGTGATCATTGAGTTAGAAAAGATATCCTGCGGAAGACTTCCTCTCTTCTAGATCTCCTCCATGATCAACATCATTATATCCAACTAATCGCAGATCCTTGCCATCTTGATAACAAAGTGCACAATCAGAAGTTCCCTTAAGATATCTAATGATTCTCTTTAATACTTGCCAATATGATAAACCTAGGTCGGTTTGATGTCTGCTTACCAAGCCAACTGCTTGACAGATATCAGGTCTAGTGCACACCATAACATATATTTGACTTCTTACTGCGCTCCTATAAGGAACTCGATTCATTCTTTCTGTCTCTTCAGAAGTTTTAAGACATATATGACTTCCCAGGGCATGGCCTTTAATGATAGGAGTGTCAACTAGGCTACTATTTTGCATATTAAATCATTCAAGAACTTTTCTAATGTAATTCTCTTCTAAGAGATACAATAGTTTCTTTGGACGATCTATTGAAATCTTAACT